AAAGGCACTGGAGCCACCCGGTATCGATTGAAATAGCGATGAAGGTATGCATGCATTATTAATACAAGATGCACAATTCCTTTTGCTCAAAGAAGGTCTGTGTAGCAGCAAGTTGAAGCGGTTGCGCTTTGCGGTCTTAGTGAGGACTCACCACCCCGATTGCGAAAAGGGCGTTGGCTGAGCATAGAGTGTAAACGGCTCAAACGCCGCAGCGCTCCCTCCATAGAATACCTTCGTTTATACTACGCGCTCGAGAGAAGCGCTGGAAGGCGCTTCCCTCGATGAGCTCACATGACGACATGACGGACATATGACCATTGAAATGATCATGAGGCGATGCAACCGCAGCATCTCAGCGCCTAGACTCGCAAGCCAGTCACGCTCGCAAGCTCTATGTCACAATAATGTTACGCGTTACTTACGAGGCACATGACTAGAAAGGGGCGAGCTTGCGAGCGGACTGGAAACTCTTGTCGCCCTTTTGGCGGAGAGTCGATTTCCCCGCCAAACCAGAGGGGGCGACTTCAACAAAAAAAGCTTCAATTTCCCAAAAAAACACCCCAAAGTTAGTATACGAAAGTTGATTTTTACAATGAGTAGAACAAAAAAGAGTATACAACTTTTTTGCCAAAAAGAATGAATTTGTTGACTTCGACGTTTTGAGGTCCGTGCACATAGCTCTGATGTCCTGCATGCTTCCGCCCCTTCCTTTCCAACCTTCTCATTCCATCCTCGTGGCCTTGGAGATGGTACTGGATAACTCTGGGATGGATTGAGATAGCGACGAAGCAGGAGATAGCAATAAGGACTTGAACTGAGGTTGCATGCACGGACCCATCAACGACGACGACGAAGTTACCTCGAAAATTTTCACAAAACCTTACATACTCCAATCTACTCTATGCCTCTCAAAATTCATTTTTGATATACCCTTCTCGAGCACTTTTTTTCATCATTATGCACTTTTTTTAACGAAGTGACCTCCTCTGAAATGGCAGGGAGATTTTCGCCCTCTCAAAATGGTGACAAGAGTGACCAGCCGGCTTTTCAAATTGAGGAGTCACGCGAGTCAATTATGTAATCGAAAAGCTGGCTGGGGACGAGCCTACTCAGCGCCTCTCATCTTTCTTCTTATCAACCACCATCACCAGCCATCACCATGAACTTTGCGTACACTAGTAGTAGCAGCAACAGCATCAACAATATAGTCGGATTGGATCCGACTGCAGGCGACCTTCTGTGAGCCGTGGGCGGAGGTGGTCTTCAGGTGCTCGAGATTGTGGCTAAGTCTGAGGACGCTTTTTCGCCAAGTCTGAAGGCAGCCGTCGCTGACACCTTGGCCATCATTGGCATGACTAAGGTCTGTACTGCTGCTTAAGCTAATCTGCTACATCTATCTAATGGTGAGAAATAGAAATTTAAATCCAATAAGCAAGCCTGGGCTGCATTCTCAGAGAGTCTCATTGGGCAGGTTGAGCGGATTGTTCAGTATAGCTGTCATTATGGGAAGGATCAGGTTCCGTGCGCTTGGCAATCAAGTCTTGAGCATCTCAAAGGGTGTGTGGTTTTGACATATCTGTTACTGGTACCATTTGAATCCGGGGGACTCAGGGTTTTGAACTATTTGAAAGAAAGAGTTGCAGATGTTCAACCCACCCAAGGGAGGAGACATCCCAGTTTCACGGAGGATATGGCATACATAGAGGAGCTCAAGGGCAAGTTGAATGAAGCCATGGGCACTTTCAATGTATGTGAATTGTTTCTGTCATTTAACCAACTCATTGTCACTAAG